CCGACATGCTACCTGTGTGAGGCGGGGGTTTTCTGCAGCAACGGCGACTAAAACAAAATTCCGAAGTAGACTGGACATAAAACACACATTTGAGGTGTCATTTTCTCCTATTACCCCGAGATGGGACCGTCTGGTTGCAGAAAATCAAGCTTGGGGCTGTGGTGAGTCGTCATTTTCATGCACTTTGAATTTGCATTGTATCGTATTTTGAAGGCATTAAGCATTACCACCGCGATCAGAGTGTTGCGGCCAGATTAGACGCTCCTTGTGTTTATTATTATATTTCGAAAACACCACAGTTTTCATGCAGCTCATACCATATTATTTTGTTGTATTATTTCCGCCACACCTTAAATGCCGGTCTCTGAAAATATTGTCTGACATAAACCGGTCTGTGGGGCAAAAAAGGTTGGGGACCCCTGCCTTAGGCGGCACGGCAAAAAAAAAACAAAAAAAAAACTTGCCATCAATGTTTCATCATTAAATGTCTTGTATTTGTAGTGTGTAAAATAAAAAATGAACATGATTTGAAAATCATTGTATTCTGTTTTTATTCAGGTCTAACAGAATGTCCCAACTTCATTGGAATTGGGTTTGTTGATAAATGGCATTATTTTTTCCAAGTAAACCAAGTGAACAGATGTTCCTCCCACTGAAATAGTGTATGCTGTGATGTGGATCCCCTCACTCAACTGTTCTTTTCTTGTTCAGTATGCAGGAGTCAATTCTTAGTCATGTACAGCGTATTGTCAAAGGTGAGGTGAGCCTGGCAATGAAGGAGCAGCAGGCAGTGGTCACCTCCAGCATTATGCAGGCAATGAGATCTGCAGCAGGGACTCCCGTCCCAACCGCACATCTAGACTATCAGACACAGCAATCTAACATCCTGCACCTCCTTCAGCAAGGACAACTCAACCAGGCTTTCCAGCAGGTAACGCACATCATATTCACAGTGACGGCCACACTAACAAAATGTAACAATTGTGCCTTTGTTAACTACGACCAAGTTTGGCCAAGGGCCAAGTGTGCATTGTCCTTTGGAAGCTTTTCATCTATTTATCCATTTATCTATTTCTTAGTGAACAATAGGGCAATTAGAATAAGAAAACATTTTTGCTATGCAAGCGCAAAATTGCAACATTCAACGCAACCGCTGAAGGAGTATTAACTTGAACAGTAATTCCAGTTTTTGAAAGAAAAACTGAGGGGGGTACCCCGTGGGACAGGTCCACGGCCATGGACCACTGCAGCTCCCGCTAAGAAAAAGGGAAAAAAAAAAGAAATATACAAACTTGACAAGTCATTACGTATGCCGACAGCACCCACAAAGTGGCTTAAGGCCTTGAGTGTTTTCCAGTAAAACTACCAGAGCCATCACTTTGACAGTTTTCCAAACTTTGATGTGTTATTACGCTGCATATATAGATTGACAATGCCCCTGGCCTCTTGGCTTTTCCTAATTCTGTATGTATTTCATTCCCGTGGTGCAGTTTTATGGTATTAACAACATACAAACAGCCCATCAATTTGACAGCTTTGCTTAATCTTACGCACGCACATTGCGCTGGGACGGCACCGCCGGGTTTCCATGGCAACCCGCGGCAGCATTAAGAGATGCTGCTGGTCACCATGATCTGTAAAAAAATCTTTTAAAGTAGATGAGGCATTACATCTGCTTCAAAATATTGACAAGTCTGAGGATGAATTGCTCGGCTGACACACAGCCAGTCCGAGTAAAAAGAGTCCCCCTGCCCCGGCCAGGAAGAGATGTGCTGCGTATAGTAAAAAAGACTGATGTGATTCATGACATTGTGGGCAGTATATACCAGACAGTCAAAATCTATAAAGTAATGAGCTTATGTGCTGCTTGTTGACATCATTCCTCTCCAAAATTCACCCTAACCATCCAGCAGGTTGGAAACGGTTGAGGTTATTTGCTACCAATTTTTGTCCACTGTAATGTGGATGTAATTGTTCTTGTTGTTTGAGTATTTGGGGGGGAAAAAAAAACCTGTCAGAATACATTTTCTGACCATTTTTTTGCAGAAATACGTCTGTGTATTGCATGGACAGAACTGGGATTGAGAGCATCAAAGATTCATGAAATGTTTTCATCTGAACAACCTTCTTACTCCCTTACCAGGCTCTGTCAGCAACAGATCTGAACTTGGTCTTGTACGTGTGCGAGACTATCGACTCTCAGCAGGTGTTTGGACAACAGCCGTGTCCGCTCAGCCAGCCTGTGCTGCTGTCACTCATACAGCAGCTCTCATCCAACCTCAACACCCGCTCTGAGCTAAAAATCAGGTAAGGCACAGGGACAATAGAGGAGCCATTGTTCGATGGTATTCATTCAAAAATTGCAAGGGAAAGCGAATAAATTGGACTATCATGCAATTCAAACTGGAGGATGGGGGGCGTGCAAAAATACAAATGTCATTAACATCCCCTTTGAAAATGAGCTGAAACGAGTAGCCTCTGCTTGGGGCCATTGATAAGAAAAATGTTTTTGTCAATAAGTCCTGTGACACCACATCATCATCTGCTGGACTTTTAAAGACATTTTTCCATTTGCACCTACAGTATTTTCAATTGTCGGTGCTCGCGCAACCTGCCCGCTCTTGTTTCCATTTCCTTTCACAGAATCTCAGCATCTTAATTTTGTCAATAAGTCACGGGTTCATGGGGTGGGGAATTTTTCTCAAAGACATTCTTATGTCTTTTAACAGTCCAGACATTCAATCCCAGGTACCCCCCCAACCCCCAAATATTACGGTCAAAGGAGGGTCTGAAAATGTCTGTCACAGAATTTGTTAGTTGTTATTTGATTACTTCACTTGAATATAAATTCACCTCTGTAATCTTTTAAGATGTTAATGTCATTGGAATGACAACACAAACACATCCGACCCCATCTTAGAAAAGGTGGGCAACAACTACACACAGTGATAGAGCAGAATCTCAAATGCCCTCAAAATCTCTGCCCTTGTAGGTTTTTAGGCTGGTCAGTGTTACACTTGCAATTGTCTTTTCTTTGCTTGGCTATCTGAACGTAGATAGTTTTTTTTCTCCTATAGGTAGTTAATATCTCTTCAGAGAGTGTCTACCTAAGCATCTTTATGTTCCCTTTGCCTCTGAATGCGTGCATCTTCTCTTCCCTTCTGCTGTTCTTGCAGTCAAACGATTCCCTTAGCCAAGCAATGTCTCTTTACAGCCTGGTGGTAGAGGTGAGACACCTCTCTGGTTTGCAGCTGGGCTACGGCCCCGTAGAGGAGGAGGGCGTGGTTCATTATGAACTTTTATTAGCTCAGTCGAGTCGCTGCGCAGCCTTGTGTCCTGTGTAGCTTCCCGACTAGATCATTGCTGAAACGCTCCAGACAAATTGCAATCATAGTGGACATCCATCATGTGGTCATTTAGATTTTCGAAAATTTGCTATATTGTCCTCCTTCCAAATTTCCAATTCTGCTGAATATCCAAAAAGAAGGGGAGTCATTAAAATGGTCAATTTGATAGGGTTGTTGTTGTGCCCCACCTGAATGGGGGCCAGCTGGCACGATAGCTCGGGAAGGGATAGGGTGTCCCCATAGAGATGAATGCTCACTTAAACTGTTAGGACAGTTAAAGCTGGTGGACACTCACACCACCAGATGTCTGACTGGAACAATTAATTGCACAGAGAGATGCGGGGTGGCAGGAGAGGGCGCAGCTGTAGATGACAAGTCCATCCCACTGCAGTGTTTTTGTGTGAAAACACAAAATAGTCGCTCACACAAGAGAGCTGGTTGCTAGGAAAACCATTAAAGACTGTGCCTGACATTGAAGCTGAAGTGACTGAGGGTGTTTCAGACAGCCAAGGACGATGCCTCGCGTGCCATCTCACGCTTGCATTTGCCTGTAAATGTTATTTTGTTCCAGAATGCATTATTTTTATTTTTTTTAAATCAGTGACCTGGCCATCATTCTAATCCAAGTCTTCCTCTGGGTCCCATTTGCAGCTATTTGGAGGACGCATTGATGAATCTGGACCACGGTGATCCTCGAACAAGAGACCACATGGCCTCCGTGCTGACCCAGGTCAGACCGAAGTTCTTCGCATTCATGCAGCAGGATCCCCACAGCCCTCTTACCAAGAGAGCTCGGCGTCTCATGCTGATACTCCAAGGACTTGTCAACCACTAGTTTCGTTCAATTCTCACTCGGAAGAAATGGTTTTTGAACAAATGATGTTGAGTCGGTTTTTGGATGTCTTCACAACTGTAGAAGAGAACATGACCCTTTCTAGAATTCAATGACAACTTCAGTCCAGTGAGTTTTTATTTTAGGGTGAGAAGACAGTTAATGGTGTTAGCGCTGCACCTGGGAAGCTGAAAACAGTGGAACGTAGGCACTATAGCAGCAGATGAACACGGAGGTACGACTGGCTGGGGCTGAGGAGAATAATAGGCTTTTGCTGTTTTTCCTCCTTTTCTTCCTTCATCCCTCGTAGAAGCCATGTGTCAAATGTAGAAACAAATTCGCTTTCTTTCCAACTAGTGCAGTTCTTAGGCTCACATGAAAGATTGTTGTCAACTTTGACTCACATCAATTTTTTTTTTTTTTTTTTTTTTAGTTTACCAGATCAGAGTGTTTTGCAACTCCTTTGTGCAAGCGTGCATAAGACTTAAAGAATGTCCATCTCAGTGGCCGATGTTGCCAAACCATTGAGTTTTTGTCAATGACATTTGTCCTCCAGCAAAACAGTCTCTGGAAAAGTTCAGGATTTGACATCCTTTGTGTATTTTTGTTGTTTGTTTTTTTGGGGCGTTGGGGGGGGGGGGGGTTGGACTAAGCTCATGTCAAGCAGCTGTTTGTAACGTCCAAAGGCTAAACACGACTTGGACATTTTGCCCTTGGATGGGCTGAATCGAGCCAGTTTGCTTTCTGTAAGATTTTGCTTTTATCCTCTTTTGGAAGTAATATTGAAAACCATAATGCTTTATCATAACTGGCCTTTCCCCACAAACCCTTCTGCTGAGGTTCCCTGCAGGATGCAAGGAAAATAAACAGACATTTAAGCAGTAACTACAATGCAGAATGCTTAAACATCCTCTTTCACCATCTGAAACGTGTGTAGCTTTAATGGTGGCCGCCGTCCAGAGAAACTGTAAAGTGGTCTGACTTTTCAGTTCCAAATTCTCTCATCTGTCTGTTCTGTGCCATTCTTTAAATATCTATAAAATGTCTTCATTGTGCACTTGTCTAAAATTATGAAAAAGTATTGCAAACTCTTTTGACATTTGTTACTGACATTTTATCCAAATATTTCTTGTTTGAAAACTGGATGTGCAGTTACTTCTTGTGGGCTTTAGGAGGCAGCACCTGATTGAAACGCACTGCCCATTGAATCTGCTTTTGGCACGAAGAGCTCTGTTAGCTCCTGTTCTTCATTGACTATTTTTGTGCACACCTTCTTTCCAAACACATGTCTGCTGGGTGGCCACTGTTATGCTGACAGTAAATATATTGTTATTTTGACATTTCTCTCTAGAGTTTAAATTGGGAGTTTCCGAAAAAAAAGTGCCTTACTGCATTTTATCTTGTTTTACATGGATGTTGAATCCTGTTTTGGCCTTCAGTAAGCTCTAGTAATGAAGCATTATACCCCCCTTAAGTCTCTATTGACATTTACAAGCATGTTGTCATTAGCAGGCAGTTTGCGGTGGCCTCTACAGTCAGACTCAAAACAGCACATCAAAGATGAACCTGTATTTTCAACACATAAAATCAATGTTGTCATTTGTTTGGATGCTTGGAAGAGAGAAGCACTCTTTTGACTACTACCATCCGGATCTCTTCAGTTTTGCGTCTCAAGAGAATATAGTTTGACTTCTACACCCAGAGTGGTAACACAAGTGAAGTGTTGTATTCTTTCAACTGTTTAGTTTGCTGTTTGGATCTTTTATAGTTTATTTTACCCTTAAACGTTTGGAATAAAAAAAAACTGTTGAATTGATATATTGTGACGTGTTAAGCTGGTTCATCCTCTCTTAAAAGTCTTAGCCGCCTCGTTCTTTGAAGTCGGTAATACTAAGCGGAGCATTTCACACACACACACACACACAAAAGCTCAGAGAGCAGTCCAAAAGGTGAACTCTAATACTCATTCATGTGAAGGTGTGCAGCACGGGATTCAAATCACACCCCAAAGACTGTTAGGTCAAAAAACTAATCCAAGTTGTCCAGGGAAATTTACAGTCTACAGCAGCAAGATTGTGGGTAGAAAGAAGAAAGAATTCCATGTTGTTTCTTTTTTTATTAAATTATATTTGAATTTTAATTAAATGTAATTAAATGAATTTAAATTAAAAATTTTATATATGTATAGAGAGAGAGAGAGAGAGAGATAGACATATAATTATATACAAGCTCAATCCTACGCTTTACAAGCTTTGGTTTCTTGCGATGATAGGGCCACAAGGCTGTTTAGCGAAATGTCATTAAACCATCACCTCTTGAATGATTTCGCAGTTGCACTGAAACACCACCATTTCGAGGATCCTACCGCTGTCCGATAAGTTTGCTCACATCATCACCACCACCATCTGTTTCGAGCAGATGTAGTGGAGCTTCATCCTCTCCTCTCCTTCCTCCCCCTCCAGTGCACAAACTAGCCCTCCCCATCAGAGGAGCGCACTGTGCATCCTCTCACTCACTCCGGACTACAGCGCTGCACCAAACAGGAGAGAAACACTTTTAAGAGACACTAGCAGTTGATTTTATTTGATCTTCAACAACGCGTCGGGGAATCTTCTGCCCGGTGGCGCGACACGTTTCAGCATCATGAACTCTGCGTGCTTCTTCTTGCCTGTTGCTTTCCTTCTGTGTAAGTACTGTACTCCAAATAACCTTGTATAAGTTTAGTGTGTAGTGTACTGGAGCACTTCTTTTATAGCTTGGGTAGACGAGCTGCCTCCTTTAAGTTGCTCGTCAAAAGTGCATCCTCAGCAGCACTGCAGGCAACATGTGACCACCCACTACGCTAAATCTATTTCTTAATAGATTTGAGGTTGCGTGGGCATGCGTGGCTCTTGTGGGACACACCTTGCTGCGTCTAGCTGCAAATAGATGCTGACTCATAACTTGCCTGGAATTTTAGATCATTTTCCTCCGGACTGTCATGCTCCCGACCCATCATCAGCTGCAACCAAGTTGGCGCATGCGTCTTTAACCCGCTGTTCAACTTTTGTATCTTGTCACACTGAATACTCCATGTCCAAGGCACGTGCGCTAAATGCTCATTAGCTACCATCGTCATGTTTGTCATCATTATGATCTTGTCATGCTGCTGTCAGTGGAATGAAGATGCTTGGGGCGTCCCACGGGAGCGACACGCAGCAAGGGTTGGAAAGAACAAACAACAAAGTTCCAAGATGGAGATAAATGAATAGCATCTGTCCCTCCTCCTCCTCCTCCTCTTCTTCGCAGCGGAGTCTCATGAGACTTTTGTCAAGTCTTTCCACGCAAAAATACTCTGACAGTTCACTCAGTCACTCAATCCTTGTCACATTGATAGACTTTTAGGTGTGCGTGTGTGGGTGTGAGAGAGAAAGGCCAAATATTTGCATATTTAACTTGTTAAATTTGTTTTAATTTCCTATTGATGATGGAGCTCTGAGGTTCTGGGTTCGACGCTTGCATTGGTCTTCCTGTTCTACCTGCTCGTGTGGGTTCTCCGCCATCCCCCCACATTCCAGAAACATGTTATGCATGTCGACTCCATCGAAGACTCCAATTAGATGTGAATGTGAGCGTAAATGGCTCTTTGTCTTTATGTGCCTTAGATGAACAGGCGACCAGTCTAGGGTGTATTCAGCCTTTTACCCAAAGTCAGCTGAGATAAGGATAAGTGTGATCGAAAACGGATGGCTGGAAATTCCTTTTCCGAATGTGCTTTGATCTATGTTCGTCTTTTGTCGAAATATCAAGCATTAACGTCTCTCCGCCGAGGAGTGCAAAAGGTTATTCATCAAAGGTGATTCGTGCTTCTGAAAATACAGTGCATGCATACTTCAACTCATAAGAGAAGCAATGAGGGAGTTTGAACGTCCTGAGCGAGACAATGAGATAAGATGTGGTATTGCGGTATTAGGAAGCGAGTGAGTCAGTGATAAAGCAGCAGTAGCGCAGGGCTGTATGGTTATACCGTGCAATTTACCAGACAATTCACGTTCCGCCGCTTGCCTGTGGTCACAATCTGTTGCTTTTCATTTGGTACCCACAGCCGAGGTTCATAACGAGCTGTAATACACGACGCACACTTCTGTGAGGCCTAATCACCACATTGATCTTTCTTTCACAGTTGGCTTAATTGATGGTGATTGTGTGTGAACGTGATGGACCGCATTGTAGCCGAGTTTGCATATTCTCCCTTTGCTTGTGTTTGTTTCCCTCCCGTTCCAAAAACATGTAAGTTTTTGAAGACACTCAAATGGCTGTTGCTCACCTGCAACCATCAAAGGGAGAATGAAACAAAGCAAATTGTTAACTAAATCCAGCAGCAAGAGAAAAAATAATTTCCATCTATAAGGTGTGTTAAATCGACTTCTCAGATCAGTTTAATAGCACATACTGAAACTGAGTCTCAAAAATAGAAAGGGGGGCAGGGGAAAATGTTATTCTGAAAAACTTGCTGGAAACAAGTAAAAAAAAAAAAAAAAAGAGGGTGGGAGAAATCAATCACACGACTGACTGAATGCATAAAGAACAAATAAAGTTAGCTGAGCATGCTGTCAAGAATTAAGAATGATCAACATGTGACAAAAAGTACAATACTGAAACTTTTGTGGCATAAAATATGACCTCAGCTTCGTAACTGCTGCACCATTTACTTGAGCACAAAAACAGTCGTATTAGAAATACTCTAAATTTCAAAGACACAATGATTGTTTGTGTTCAACAGACTGCTAGGTGAGAGGTTAGACTGCTCTTTGCATTGTTCTCTCCTGAGAACAATTACAGTATATCGTTTTCTCCCACATCTTCCCTTGTGTAGTTTTGTTCAACTGTAGAGCAGACATTGCAAATGGAAGCTTCTTCATTGAAACCCTTGTAAAGGTCAAGCAGGGCTTGACCTTGCTGTCCCTGCGGTCTTCTCCCCTCACAGTTCTCAACCCTTTCCCCGCCTCCTTCTCCCTTGCACGCTGATCAGCGCACAGTTTTCAGGGTGCATTAAAGTAGTGTCAGAGGTCCGCCACACACTGAGCGACCAAAACCGCAGCCAAACCCGACTGAACTCTCGCGGTGTGCGGGGTTCGGAAGCTGCTTTTCACAAGAGGCGATTTCTCTGCCTCTGGTTTTGCATGATGTAGCAACATTGCAGATCCCAAACACTCAACATGCAGCATAAGGTTTCACAAATAACAAAAGTATATTTGGCTGTTTTTACAACAATACTTAACTGTATCTATGATTTCATATCTAACTGTGTAAAATAGCAAAGCTTTCAGAATCTGTTGCCAAAATGTATGCGAGTGATGTACATACAGTACTGCTCCAGGTACATTCAAGTCAATGAAAGTGAGCAAAGCCTCTCAAGATTTCCACAGTCGTCTTTTCTTGACTTATTACTACATCTCTTTTTTTATGGTTAATTAGAACATCGTAGAAAGGGTTCACTTTATGTTCATCTAGCCTATACAGACTCGTCGT